GTTCTTTCTTTGCTTTTTATCCACCACTTCTACTCACACGTATACTCCTAACATGTACATATGGAGTTTGACAGACAAATAACTCAAACAGGAATTTAAGTTTTAGCATATTTACACAAGAAAACTGGAACAGTCTCCAGTTGGGAATTTCTACCCTGCTCTTCCATGTTTGCATTGGATTTGAAAGATGCCAAGCCAGATGGCATCTTTGGAGCAAGAGACTACTACATTAAAGGCTAAGAAGAAACAAAAAGCCTTTGTTAGTTCTTGCTACTTTCCACCACTGACTTGCTGTGCTGCCACTGTGAGCTTGCACTAAAATGATCAGGGTTTTCTGCCCTGTCCCACAGCCTTTTTTAAAATCTGCATTTTAAATTCCTCAGCTAAAACACCACATTAGTACACACACCATACCGATCCACAAGGGTCTGGATGTATCAACAAGTGGAATTAGACAAAATATTTGTATGATGTCTGCAGCCCCATCAGATCAGGGAAGACAGGCACTCCCTGCAGTCTTACTAAAGGACTAAAAGATGCAGAAGTACTTCAAAGTTCATTTTCTTTGTAAATGAAGTGGAAGAGACTAACATACACTGAGGCCTCCCCTGCAAAAGAGTGACATTCCCTCCCTATAGCAAAAAGGTGATATTAAGATACAGAAAATCATCTTTAACATCAAAGAATTTAGGGCTTTTCCCTGCTCCTAAACTCCTTAAAACAATAAAAGTCCCAAAGAGCATATTGTGAATTCAGTGGTTTATATCCATCCAGTCACTTCCCATCTCTTTATCTTCCCATTAGAAACTAGCCAGAGTAATGCATTAATTTTAATAAGGTAAAGTAGTAAGGAGGTGAAATTAAAGAAGGGATTCTATGAAAGAAAAACAAACAAACAAATAAACCAACCCCCCTGCTTTAATTTAGCAAAGCAGCCCAAACTATTCCAAAGAACTGCCACAGCTTAAATCAGAGGCAGCAGGTTCCCCCAAGGAAAGCTACTGCAGAGTGCAGCACCCCTTCCCCTCCTCGTTGAGCCCATTTCCCCAAGCAGAATGAGGCTGCAGCAGGGAGGAGGTACCCAACCAGTTCAGCTGGCTCTGACAAGGTTAAAGTGATTTCTCATGAAATGTCAAGTGCAGCTACAACAGCAGCAAGCAAAATCAGAGGTACCGCCCCTACCGAGGATTTCAGAAAAGCAGCAGTTGCAAGGACTGTCCAAGCTGCTAGCTGACACACTATCCATGGACCAAGTCTTACCCGGTGTTCCCAAGTGTCTGATGAGGGGACAGCGACTGACCATACCCATTCCCTTCAGAAAAAAAAGGGGAGTGACTCTAATGAAGACCAAGGATGACTCCTATAACCGAACCCGTCTTTAAGGTGCTGCACCACAAGGAAGCTGACCTTCTATTGCACTTATCCAAAAGTCTAGGTCAGTTTAACAAACCAGCAGAGGAACAGATTCTGATGATAAAAATATCCCCAGTGTGAGCAGGAAGGTCTGCAAATTCTGTAGCTTCGCAGCCCATTCCGAAGAGCTGTTCTGCACATCTGCAGCCAACCCAGATCCCTCTGACCGTCCCTCAGGCCACCTACCACAACCACACACAGCACATCCAGCTCAACAGGCAGAGATCAGTAATTCAAAGTAATTGTAATCTCATATTCCAATGACTCTCTACTTCTTCTGAGGGCCAGATGCATCTGTTACTCACAGGGGCAGACTGTATACATACAAACAGTTTAAGATATTTTTTCTTATGACAGATCATAGTGTCTTTTGTACTGTATTAGCTTTTTTCCAATCACTTCTCTGGAGCAGTATATCAACTGCTAATACATTAATTCAAACATTTAAAGCAGTTTATTCTTTACATTTCGGCACTGCCTTAATAATCATCATGTAAATTTATGAAAGCTATTTGAATTTAACAAATAGACTCTCTGTCATATCATCCTGCAAGGTTTGAGAGGCATTAAATTTTGCTGTCCACTGTTTTGTTTCACAAACAGATTTAGAAGAGCCAGAATGTCCATTTCATCTTTCAAACTAAGTTAACTGTAAAACTGTACCCGGAAGAAAAACACTTTTCAGAAGTTTTAAAATGCTTTAAACTCTGTTTCTAGAGGCTTCTGGTGCCAATTCAACAGTTCACTGCCAAACAAGGTCATGCATATATTACTGGAAGAGGCATCTGTTAACAGAGTGACATTGATGTGGAATGTCAAGGGTTTTTATTTTTCCAAAAAATAAAAACACTGAAAGCAACTTTTGAGTAATTAATAAACAAATCCCAATTCTTGTATATTACCAAAACACAACATTACAAGTCACTACACAACAAGACACTACAGGCCTGCGTAACCACAGAAAAACTTCCAATGTCATAAGCACTAAAGGGTGGAAAAGATTTGGCAAAAACTCCAGAAAAATTAACACACAAAGGAGAGAAAGGGAGATGAGAAGAAGGAAACTGAAGTCCAAAGGATGCAATCTCAGGAGAGCAGGCAGTGCACAGAATTAAACAAAAAAAAAAAAAAAAAAAGAAA